TAAAAGAAAATACAAATAAAATGAAATGAAAGGAAGCAGAGACAATAAAAAATTGTATATTGGCCTCTTTTTTCCTCAAATATAAATTCAAACAATAGCTATTTTCAGTTAACAAAACAAAACAAGAACATCAAATCTTTCTAGAACAACAAATTATATTATTACATTATACTGTTTCATATTTTTTTCAACAATCCAACCTTTATCATTCTTTTGAACATGTACTTTGATTTGGCACTTTTCACATCATTTTTCATATTATTCCACAATCTGACTCCTTGGATTGAGGTGCACCAGTCTTTCAAACTGGTTCTAAATTTAGGTTTCATGAACAACTATGTATATAATAGCTCACTCTCTTTGCAATTTTTTTTTCTGGATGTTTAAAGGTAATGTGTTTTGATGAGCCTTATATATAACAAAACAGTATAATCAACCAAATTGTAAAATTTCAAAAATTTCTGTTTACAGAATAATATATTAGATGGATAATAATACTGTTTTAGAGTGGTAACTCTTATAGCTCTTTTCTGCAAATCAAAAACAGGATGTGTAATTGTCTTACATGCTTTCCTCCAAACCTCAACACAATAAACCAAGTGTGGAACAATGAATGCATTATATAACATTTACAGAGCTTTATCATTAAACAGATCCCTTACGTAGTAAAGCAGTGTAGCTAGTTTTATTCTTAAGTAATTTATATGAAGTTTCCATGTCAGTTTCTCATCAATAATAACACCCAGAAACTTTACTTCACTGACTCATCTCTACACCATCAACTCTAAATTGAATACTATCTTTTTTAACTCATTGTAAATATCATATACAAATGCAAATCAGGACATTTCAACCTATTTTGTCTATGCCCATTGCCATTTATCATCATGAAAAAATGGAACTTTTTTAAAAAGTTTTTTTGTTCCTCTGTCTTTTTGCTTCCTCCCAATGCTGTCACTATTAAACTTTAATAATGTGTCAAAATTTGTAATAAAATAACAGACTATAAACTATATCAAGGAATGTCTTTTGAAAATGTCTTTAAACCCTTTAGCCCAATGAAAAATGTTCTTCCTTTGTATTTTGATGTCTTGTTACTGCAGACATTCTCGCCACCTAGTGGTGTGGCATAAATTGTTTAGCCGTTATCTATCTATCTATCTATATATCTATCTATCTATCTATCTATCTATCTATCTATCTATCTATCTATCT